TTACTATGCCTGAGCGTCGCTCAGCTGTGTCTCGCGGCACATTCGGGACGGGAAAATTCGAAGGGATAGAAGGTCTTTCAGAGATGCACGAAGGGGATGGAAAGTATGGAAGCACAAAGCGCGCAAAACCTTCTCGAAACCTGCCCGGGATACGAATGGACGGGGCGGGAACGTCGAGGACGGCGCGACACAGCCTGCACCTCCTGCACGTCGTGTTCGTGGGAACGGTCGTTGCAGAGGAGGGGCAGAGGATCGAGGGATGGGGATGTCAGAGCCAGGCAGTGGCGCATCCGTCCACACACACACACACACACACAATTCACACACACGTGCACACTTTTTCTGATTGTCCTGTGCATGGGACCTTTGCAACATTATCATCACGAACGCTGCTGCCCATATGCCGGGCCGGGAAATCACCGCCTGCCAGGAAGGGAGGGCGTGTCAGATGGGTGAGAGAAGACTCCTACGTGCCGTGAGCGACAGTGCGCGTTGTAGATGCCGAGTATTTGACGGAGGGGGCGTGTATAGGCTGCTTTCCTGTGATGAGCGGCCCGTCATGACGACTGCATATCCGTGTAAGTGGACGTGTGCATGACGGACCTACGCTTTATTTGCCTGTGGCTATGTCAGCGAATCTACCGGCTCGCAGGGGCAGAAGCGAACAAGAAGGGGAAGACAAAAGGATGACGTCCATGGAAAGAAGATTGGCGTTTCCCTCGATCACACAACCAGAGAACACTGCCCACCACAGCAACTCGCAGACTGATCACATCGTCAGATTCTTTACTCACGAAGACACGTTTTCTCGTCGCATCGTTTTTCGGCGGTCGTCAATTGGTGGCGACAGTATTATAACATACCCATCCCCCTTCGTGTCTTCCCCCCATAGCTTGACCTCAATTTCACCCGAGGCAAGCTTCTCATGTCCTTCCATTATGGTGTTTTCGTGGCCACCCGATTCTAGTTCTTTCGTCATGACGATGGTGGCAGTGATATTTTCACTTCTCGAGTCCGCGTCGATGGGACCCCACGCGAATGCGTGTCGTCGAACTGTTACGAGGGGGGAGGGGCCCCCGAGTAATGGGAGGCGATCGGCCAGACGGAGAGCATACGAAATTTCCGGGCAACAAATATACACATATTTTTC